AACTTCCTGATTTTGTCACAGCAGAAGAATTTATAATCCATCAATTTGAATTAAATCTTTTCATAAATGCTAATAATGTTGATAGAGCACGACAGTGGTTTTTTGAGTTCAAAGAATTATCAAAAACAACAATGCCGGAGACCAAAGGATTTCAAATTAAAGGGTCCAAGGTTATATTCCAAGAATTGCAACATTGTATACATAGTGAAAAGGTAAAAAAAAAACAAGGGAACCTTGATTTAAAAAATTCACATTCATTATGTGCTAGAAATACAAAGTGCATAGCTATGATACATCTTCGGCTTGAGCGTTGGCGTCTTCAAACAACTTATCCACTAGAAGTTAACATTAAATTCATTCATAATCATGTAATTAACTCTGCCAAGTCACTTAGTTTTAGACGTATTAATGAAAAAGTTCATAATAAATATCTTGAACTTTTTGCAAGTGGACATTCACCAGCAACAGCTTTATATACTTACGAAGATTCTTTATATTTACATGTGGATAACAATCAAGAGCTAATGCAACTTTTAGCAGATCATGCACAAAACCCAGACTATGGTTATGTTTTAAATTTGTTTAAAAATATCGTAACAAACATCTTGGGAGACAAAATAGAGCATTAATGTTTCAACGACTTAAAGAAGAAGTTGATAATTATAATAACTCAAAGAGAGGTCATGCTCTACTTCAAGAATATAGTTCACAATCACAGAATGCTTTTATTCTTTGTGTGACTACAAACTTGATGCTCCGTGTATATGAAAAGATATGCCAAGCTAGTGAAATTTGCTATGTGGATGTATCAGCATTCTTTGAACCGCTAAATACTTCAGTGACTTTGTTTTACACAAGTTGTATTATAGGTGTATTGCCTCTTGGTCTTATCATAACATCTGATAAATCAGAAGTAACTCTTGAAAGAGGAATGAGGCTCTTAAAAGAACTTTTTCCAAAGCATGCTTTCTCTAGCTGTGGACCTAGTATTGGGCTAATTGTTTTTCTTACAGATAATTCATATGCTAAACAAAATGCATTAGCAAATTGTTGACTACAATTGAAACAGTTATTATGTATCTTTCACGTACTTCAAGCATTTTGGCGTTGGTTGCATAATTCAAAGCATAATATAAATAAAGTTCATAGAAAGTTTATAATGGAAAATATGAAAAAAATATTGTATGCCCGAACAGAAGTTGAAATATTAGAATATTACCATGAACTTAAAGCTAATTACTATCATATGTACTCCCAATTACAAAGGCATTTTGAATTACTCTGGAAACGGCGTCAATTATGGGCGGTATCTTTTCGTTCAGGACTTCTTTTACGTGGCAATAACACTAATAACTACGTAGAATGCAGTTTTGGATTGTTGAAAGATATCATATTTGCACGTACCCAAGCTTATAATATTGTTCAAGTCTTTCAATTTATTATTACAAGTATGGAACAGTTCTATGAACATTGATTACTTGAAATAGCACACAGTCATTCCGGTCATTTAGAAATTGCTAGGCGATTTTTGTGCTGTGGCTGGGATGCAATTAATGCAGCAGAGATTCAACAATCTGATATTGAAAATGAATATCTAGTTCCTAGTGAGAAAAAGAATACTGATTTATCTTATATAGTTAATGTTGAAATATGGACATGTACTTGCTTTGTTGGATTATCTGGAGTGCCGTGTAAGCACCAGGGTGCAGTAGCAGCAAAATATTATATTAGTTCACTAAATTTTCTTCAATTATTAACTCCTAATGACTATGCTAATTTTGCATATATTGCACATAGTATGTAATTAATTTATTTTAATAAATAATTTGAACTAATGTTAAATTTTGTATAAATAATTAATAATATATTAAATTTTATTTTAAGGAGTAATGATGGATGACCACTCTTTTTATGCATCACTTCATGCTCATACAAATGATATCCAACTAATTTAGCAAGAACATAATATAGATAAAATTTTAAATAATCAAGTGATTAATGAAGTTCAAGAATCTGAAGAATCAAATGTAGACCAAATTATTGCAACAGAAATTGAAAATCTAAAATCTGATATGGATCAAATTAATACAATGGAGTATGTAAAACATATTTTGTATATTTCTTATCAAATTTTAAAATTTATACAATACTAAATAATTTATTTATAGGCATAATACAGCCTTTATTGAATTATTTCTTAAAACAGTCAAACATGATTATGAAAACTGTGGCCCACAGTTTCAAACTGCTATTGAGAAACTAGCTGAACGTTATAATGCAGCAAAAGCAAAATCTATTCTGGCATTAACATCATTTCTATATAACATAGATCGGAGTGTTGATCCACTTACACGTGTAAAAAGTGATGCAAAAATTCAAACACAAGTTGAATCAGTAAAGCGCAGAAAAAAAGCTGTTTGTGATAAAGAAAATATCATCATCATGTCATGCCAGCATGTAAAAAACGAACAAGTGGTAAAAAAGCTCACAGCCTTATTCAAAATACAAATAATGATCATTTGAATTAATTGGGTTAGAATAGCACATTTATAATACAAATAATGATCAGTTGAATTAATTGGCATCAGAATAGCACATTTATATATAACTATATGCATGTATTATTACTAGCTTTGATTGATTATATATTTACGTATATATAAATGTATATATTTGTAATACGCTTGCTTTATATGGTATAAAGAACTATACAAGAGTTATAATAAATTAGAAAAGTATAGCTATAAGTATTAGCAGCTTACACACTATTTTAAGTTCTACGTATATACATAGTAAATTTCTGCTTGTGCTATATACAAACATTCAGGATTATTACATATTACAAACTCTTTTTTATAAAATTACTAGGTAAAATGATATGAATTTACATAATCTTATGTAACTAAACATAATATGTTACAAATATTTTATGAATTCTATGGACTTTCAGTAATACTACACAAAAAGAAGCAGAAGTTTATATAAATTTGTTAAGTGACTTTATGCTTATATAAATTTATATCAAACAATTACATAATATTATTATCATTTATATAATGCTACGTAAATATATAGACCTTCGAAGTTTGTGACGCATTCATGCAACAAAAAACTTTCATGTAAATAAAAGGTTACACAGATTGGGTTGGCCAGAAATAAATAGAACTTCGGTCTTACAAAAATTATTGAATAATCCTACTTATTTCAGAATGCGCCTTTTTTTCTGAAACCCTTAAATTATATTAGGTAATTATTCCATTAAATTGGCTTAGATATATGTAATTAGAGATACGGAAGCATAATAATAAGCAACATAAATAACCTGAAATTTTCTCTTTGCATATTAAAATTTAGATTCAGTGAACGCTATGTTAATTGTTTGAATATGAACTCTTGTATACCAAATGTATAAAGTACATAGAATGTGTGCATATGAGATAAAAAAGGGCTGATCGAATTTGAATCATTAAAATTTAAAAAAAATTTGCCGCAGCTTTTTTTTTATTGGCTCCTAAACTTTGAATGAAGATTACTCGGCACTTACCTGTTCAAATTCAGCCAAATTTTTTTTATTTAATTCTACAAATATATCCCTTAAGCTGTAGAGTTCATGTAACAATTTTAGCTTAAAAATAGCATAAATTTAGTTATGATCTATTTTTTT